CTGTGCCATTTCTCATTAATGGACCTTGTAACCTTAGAGACATATCTGTGAAAAGATAATACAAGTAAAATGAAGGAGAGCTGCCGAAGGAATGATGAAGTAGGTTTTTAGTGCCCCTTTTAATTGTATTGCGCAACATCATGCACGGTTAGCTGACTGTCAGTACGCACAATGTTTATCTGGACGAAAAAGTTGATTAAATATTCCTTGTGTCAAACGATAGCTGAAAGGATTACATTCAAGACATTAATGCATGGCTATAACAGGTAGCTTTTTTGGCAAATCAACATAGTTTTTAGTATTTATAAAAATTTAACTTCGTTTGGAAATAAAATAAGCTGATATTTCATTATGTCTTGTATCTAGACATATAAGAAGCACAATATAGTGAGCTAAAAAATTATACAAATTGAATAAAATGCAATGATATAATTCATCATGTTACCGTTGAAAGGTCTTACGAGGGCCCCACTAGAACAGTTAATTGAAATTATAAAAAACTTGTGAGTTAAGAGCTAATTGAGAGCATGACGTAATATTGGATATAATAGAAGAACAACCATTTGAAAACGGTCAGAAAATTTCAAAATAGAGAACAATTCAAAACGTATACAATCTGGTTTTGTTGAAGTTATTAAGAAACAAATCAAAATATAATTTCAAATTTTCCTAATTTCTCCAGAAATTTCGTTCGATAATAGGAAAAAAGTATTCGTTTGGTATAGGCAATTTGATCGAGGAGTTAACAAACTTCTGCTTAATAATCTGCGGAGAAAAAGTCCAAATTGAAAATACCGAAACAAAAGAACAAAAAGTACGAATAAAGCACCAGAAATCCAAAATGCATTTTATGTGATTATCCATTTTTGTAGTGCTAAAAAATTTTAAATATTACAAAAATAGGTACATGGCCAGAAATTACAGACCTGATTTTTCTACTACCTTACTAACTTTGCATATTATTAATACAGAACCCGTTGAAAGATGGCATCGGTGGTAAATAGTAAATTATATTACGCGATGCTTTAAATCGCAAAATTAGAAATATTTGTAGGTCGTTTGCAATTTGCCTCGATAGCTGGTTGCAGAACACAGTCTGTTGAAATATATCGTGTAGTGTTTGCCTGGTGTAAGTTACTGCCTGTTCTGCATTTTCGTTTGTTTCTAGTGGAAATAGTACGGTATTCTTATATAGAGTTAAATAGACAAATTCCGTACCAACTAACCTCTGTACAAATAGTGAAAATGCAGAATAGTCACTAACTAAAATCAAAACAACATTACGCTAAATACTTCGAGAGACTTTGATTTATGGCCAGCGACTGAGGCAAGTTGCAAACGACCTACCATATTCTCTGATTTTGGGATTGACAGCATCGCGTAATATAATTTACTGTTTACTGCAGAAGCCATATTTCAACGTGATATGCAAATTACGAACGAAGTAGAATAAATCATGTCCGTGATTTCTGGCCATGTCTATAAGCGTACATGTATCTGTACATAGTGTGATATACTGAATGTGATCCTTGTTTCACTGTAGTGGTTGTGCTGTGAGTAGTAATACCCTCCTATATGGAGCACAGAGGATGCCGATAATGACGTCACTTTGCTCAACTAACACCCTGGCGGCAGAAGTAATCAGTATGCAAGATCTATGACGTCATATTAGCGTTGCGTTGCGAAGTTACGTTACTATTAGGTTGCGTTACGTGGTCACGTTACATGTCACAGACCTAAGTCTCGTTACCATATATACGTCACAATAGAATAGCGTGTTTAATTTTAATTTTAATTTAATTTCGATTGCATTTAACGTCGCTGTATTTTAAATGAATCAATCGGTGAATTTATAAACAAACAGTCTTAGTTGTAATATGTATTTTCATAAAATATAAAATACTGTGTTGTGTTGCTTTGTGCTGCTAAGTCATTAGGCGACAAGTGGACAAAGGTTAAGGTTAATAAGGGATTAGGCAACAGGGATTTGAATAACTAAATGGATCCCAATGGAATGATAAGAATATTATGCCTTTACGTCTTTGGAGTGAGCATAATTTATTTGATTTTTATGTCATGCAAACTGTAATGCCTTGGCGGCCGTATGGTATGGTATGGCATTGGGGGTTGTCCCAAAATAAGGAGGTTCGATTCCCTCCCTTGTAAAACAAAATGTTTCGGAAGAAGTTAATTTCGACAGGTATTGTGAAGTTTTCTTTTTCGTTATTAATTAAAATACCCACTTGCGATAGCTCAACTGGTAAAGCGGAGGACTGTAGTCCCTTAGGTCGTTGGTTCAAACCCAGCTCGCAAGATTTAAAAGCAAGCGTTCTTTATAGCGGTCGGAAAAATTTATATGTTGCTCGGAGCCTGGCTCAAACTAACGAACCTGGGAAGGCCTATCTTGGAGCCTAGTGTAAATAGCTCGAAGCCTGGCTCCGAGCCTCGCTAAGAGGCGAGTTTAAATGAAAATAATATCTGTTTATTGATCAATTGTTTTGCAGTAAAAACTGAATTATACAATTGTTTCTATGTTATGAACTAATTTGCATATTAACATTTTAACATATATAAATATAATATAAGCATGCAGTATAAATTCATATTTACATAATTACAATATATAAAGGACTAAACTTGGACAATTACATATATTTAATAGTGATAAAGTTATCGAAACGTTCAGTGAAGGTTCTCACAGTTGCACTATTATTTGGTCTACGTAAAAAGTAATCATGTTCGCCAAGTGATCGGGAGGGTCTAATTATGTTATAGACTGGATTGTTATTACAGGCTATCTTCCGGGTTGAGTTGATAAATCTCCTACATAACTCATCTCTTCGACATTCCAAAGTTTTGATTTTTGAGGACTGCAATGCTTCATAATAAGAAATGTCAGGGAATATAATCTTAAGTGCTCTCTTTTGGACCGATTCAAGATGAGAGGATAGGTAGTCGGGAAGAGCTGCCCATACTGGAGATGCGTATTCGAGTACG